GGGGGGGGGGCTGGGGAATCCGCTCTGCAGTATGGATATGATGTTTAAATGAATTAATGTATGCATATAAGTTCCCTTTTCCCTTTGAATCCACCGAGACACATATAGTGAAAACAGAGAAGTTAAGCAGTGCAGCAAATTAGAGGTAGGGAGGCTACTTAAAAATAAAAATAAAAAACAAAACTTTTAAGGAGGAGTGTTTAAGGTGTCAACTATGTGGCTGTGAGGTCATTATTTGCAAAAAGTGAATTCTGTGCAGGTATCATTTTATTTTCGTGAACGTTAGTGGTTAATTCTTTTTGTTTTTGAAAAATGAAAGAAGACCATAAGGTTGTTCTCTGATTTAGATGAGACGCAGTAAATTAACAGAATACCTAAGGTATTGGCCACCTTAACTAAGAGCCATTGTCTTTTCTAGAGAGTTCTATAGCTGGATCCTGCTCTTTCTAATTGGGGTCTAATGTTTATGGTTTGTGGTCGTTTCTCCTAGTCGACCTGTTAGGCCTGCTGAATTGGCGCTCGAACTTCCAGAACATTAAACACAACCTAAAGAAGTTAATGGAAGTAGATGGAGGAGAGATCGTCAAGGTATGTTTGTAGATGCACACTTAGAAATGTACCGACTGCATCATTACTTCAGCACTTTTAATTCAGCCTGTCCTTGTAAATGCAAAACTTGTTGTCTACATTGGGAAGCAAGTGCAGGAATTTTTTAAGAAAATGCTGTTTTAAAACCTATGCTATTGAAACCTAATTATCCCCGAATTTCTGCAGCATGGAGCTGAGCCGAAAGCACCAAATAACCTCTCTGTTTTCCTTCCTTCAGTTTTTGCAAGATACACTAGATGCACTTTTTAACATAATGATGGAAATGTCAGGGAATGAAACATACGACTTCCTTGTGTTTGACGCACTGGTAAGCAGTTAAACATGTTCACTAGGTGGTTATTCTCTGAACCATTAATTTTCATTATTTCACTATTATAAATGATCGTGTTGCAGAGCCTCCTTCATAAATATTTGTGTACATCTGTCTTGACTGTTTTTTGAGGCTAAATTTCTGGAAGTAGAGTCAGAAACATTTGATTTAGATTCAAAGCCTTGCTTTTCTCTATTTCCTGTTAGATGTGCTTTCCCTTTTTCAGGAGGGAAAACAGGGTTGGAGCACATTAGAAATCAGGAATCACTTTAAGTCACTTAGAAGTTATCTAGTCCTAAACCAGGAGAGACCACTCACAGAGATGCTTGTGGCTTGTAGCATACGTGTGTAAGTGTGTTCATGCAAGGCAGACTGACCTCGCAGGTCAGAGATGAGTCTTAGTCCCATGTACGTACAATACCCGGTCCTGCAGACAACCCAGTCTGTCACACAAAGCACCTGAACACACAGTCCGTTCCCGGAACTGAAATCTAGACCAGGAGAGGTGATCTGGGAAGGCCAGAGCGGCGGTGGAGTGGAAGGGGCCCTGACACATCCAAGCAAAGCATTATTCTCATCGCCGGGGTTTAAGTTCAGTGCAGAATTTTTCTTGAATGTTGCAGCAAACAAGGAAGGTAAATTGCAGCCTTAGGTCATTCACCAGCTTGGAGAAACTGGTGACTTCAAGGAGTGGTCGGGGTGTGGATGATAAGGGTGTCAGATAAAGGCAGGTGGTGCCTCCAGCTGAGGTCACACCTGGTCAGGCTACCAGGGGACACTGTGGCTCTGAGCTCTGTGCCTGAGGTCTGGAGACACATTCCCCGGGACAGAGCAGAGGGCAGCGGACACACCCGAAAGTCTCAATGCTCCTTCTTTTGTACTCTTTTATCATGAGCAGGTGCAAAGAGGTCATTTGTAGATTATGTGCCTGGTAGTGATAGGAGAGTGAAATTGGGAGGCAAATATCCGCTGAGGTTGTACTGGGGCATTCGCACCGCACTCAGGAGAAGGGAATATTTCATGAGCTGCATCCTTGGGTCAGAGCTTATTCGTCCCCCAGGAAACCCCTGTCCTATGGTCCCCTCTCCTGTCCTACTGTCTTCCCCGACTTTGTTGGCTGTGTGCTGTGCTCTTTGCGACAGTAAGCTCCCTGAGGCCAGGGGTGCTTTCATTGGTTTCCTCATAGCATCTAGCACAGTGCCTGACAGGGAATAATCTTTCTGCTCCTGTCAAATAAAAAGGAACCCCAAGACTTCACGTGGGCTTTGGAATTGTAAAGCGAGAATGCTACAAACATAGTGAAGAAAGAAAAGACAGCAACTGATGTTAGACCCAGTTTGTTGATGGAATGCCTCGGGCTGTCCAGTGCTGCTATTCATGTGTTTCTCCTTTGGCAGGTATTTATTATTTCCCTGATAGGAGACATCAAGTTCCAGCATTTCAACCCTGTCCTGGAAACCTACATTTACAAGCACTTCAGCGCCACCTTGGCATATGTGTAAGTAGGACTTGGGGGAGCTGCCTGTTGCTGGGTTATCGAATTTGCTCTCTTAGGGCTGGTTGTTGAGAAACAAGGGGGTCATAGGCTGAGTAAGTGTGGCTCCAAGGGCAGAAACTTGTCCTCAGCTTCCTGGTGGAAGGGAGGGGGCATCTAATATTCTAACCCTAGAGAATGGGTGAAGTTCAGGCTCTTCCTTCTGGGAAATGACAGAGAGATAAGGCCATATAGCTTTAAGAACCCAGAATATATAGGTGAGGAGTTGAAGCCGTTAGGAGCATGAGCCAGGACAGGTGACCACACTCAGGATCTTTGGGATTGGGTGTCAGTGAGGTTACCAGACAGTGGATTAAGCAAAACCGCGTCTGAGAGGACAGCAGGTCAGGCTGTCAGCCCCTCGCCACAGTGCTGTGTAGAATTATTATTCGTAAGATATGAGAAGACTTCCTTTCCCCTTCTTTTGCATAAGAGGGAACGGTCTCTCCCTCTTCTGGGTGCAGCCTTCTTTCTCTTTGGTATATGGGCCCTGACTCAGGAGCGATGTCCACCCTGCGCTTCACCTGGGAGCGCCTAGTCCATCGTGTCTTCTGCTCGGCCTGTCATTGCAGTTACTGGGCAGAGCAGTGCGATAAATAACCACAGGAGTGTCGTAGGGATTGGCACAGATCTTTCTGACAGTGGCTTTTGCCAGGTCATGCCAGTTGCAGCTGGCTGATCTCTTGGGGTAGCTGCTCCTTAGGTCAAATCATTGTGGTCTTTTCTGAATTATGCAAGTTCTTGGTTTTATTTGCATGAAAGTCCAGAAATGTAGTAAAACATAAGTGAATAAAAGAAGTGCCCTGTGGCATAGTCACCAACTAGCACAGTTGGCTGCATGCCCACTGGATGGGGGGAAGCAGGACAGACACCAGAGACGGGCTGTTTTCCACCGAGTGGCTTTACTGTCCATGTGGCAGTAGCCACAGGTGAGGAGCTCCTGTCACGGGGCCTTCAGTACATGGAGCCAAATGCAGCGTTCCGGATGAGAGGCGTCTGGATTTGGTCAGTTCTACATGTTTCCTGTGGGTTTTCTCTTAGAAAACTCAGATTCCTAGAAGGAAAGTTTAAAATATCAGTGCCCTCAAAAGTGTGAATTAGCAGAAGGTTAAGACAGTGCCTCATCAGAAGGCTCTAGAAGGAGCCATCTGCAGCCTCAGAGCAGGACTGTCTGTCGGGATTCGGACCCATGGGTGCTCTCCCCTTCCCACACTCGGGATGTTTCCGTCTGGCTCCATATTTACAGATTCCCACAGGTCTGGGCAGATCGGAGGGAATTAGACATCTTTTATGCTGACTACCTCCGATGGGCAGTCTCTCCCTCACAAGGAACATGTAAAAATGTCTATATAACATACAAGAGACTAAAATATCTCCAGGATTTGAATCTTCCAATCTTTCATTTCTCCATCCTACAAAGGGAAAGAAACCAGCAGAAGGAAAGCTCGGAATCTAGACGGCAGTGAGGAAACTAAATTGCACAGGAGTTCAATTCCCTGTTCAGGACACGGCCTAGAAGCGAAAATTATCATTATGATTTCTAGTTCCCCGCTTTGCCAGGTTCCCTCTCTGTAGAGCACACCCCAAACCTCTGAGTACCACTCTGCCCTGTTGACAGTTTTCTTTCTCACCCTTTTAAGGAAACTCTCCAAGGTCCTGAACTTCTATGTGGCTAATGCGGATGACTCCAGCAAGACCGAGCTGCTGTTCGCTGCTTTGAAAGCCTTGAAGTACTTGTTCAGATTCATCATCCAGTCTAGAGTACTCTACTTGAGGTAATGGTCACTGTAAAAAGATGTTGGTGCTCTCCACTCTCTCTTCATGTAGTTTCCCTTAATCCTCTTGCTCACGCTCAGCTCTGTGAGCTCCGGGCCCTGGAGTTGCCAGGTTTCAGAACTTCAGGGCTGAAGATAGAAGGGGACTGTGAAGCCATCAGAGAAGGTCCAGGCGGAGTCCTTTTGGATCAGCAGAACTTCTAGGGCAGCAATGACAGAAGGACCTGAGGATGCAGGTGGCTAAAGTGTGCAGTTTGCTGGAAGCCTGTGTGGGGGAAGCAGCTCTAGGAAGGCAAGATTACAGTTAATGCAGCAAAGGGCTTCATGGCAGCGTTGGGGGCACAAAGCTAGGACCATGCGCTGTTGTTGGTATACAGGGAGAATGGCCGCAGCTGTTTGGGGCGATGTTTGCTGAGGTGTGTGCTTCTTTGCTGACACCATGCGCAGCTGCCTGGTGAAACGAAGCCACAGCGATAGGCTACTTCCCACTTCGGATTCCTAGAATAACAGCCCCCTCAAAAAGAAAAGAAATCAAGAAAGAGGAAGTACGTTTTCTGGGAATGCCCACAACCCAGTGCCATCCCTGCCCTTTAAGAATAATAGGTGGATTAACACACTGTTAAATATATTTGTAAGACAGAAGGAAAAGGTCTGTAGATTCCAGCACATGTACTTTTAAAATTTGTGTATTTAAAACCTGTAAGCAGCGGCAAACAAGTTACCTGAAAAAGAATCTTGTAACATATAGTACAGATCAAAGGTGAATAGCTTTACTGATTAAAGGCCCTTATTAATCAAGAAGTAAATGACAAATGCCTTTAAACAATAGAAAACAAAAATATAATTTACAAAAGAAAATTCAAATGGTTGATTAATTTTTAAAAAATTTATACTCACTATCAAAATGCCATACACACATCCTATCTCACCTATATATTTGATAAAGATTAAAATAAGAGTGTAAATTCTTAAGGGCAGAAATTTGTCACTATGAATAAAAAGTTAAAAAAAAAGAAAATGTCATGTTTGTCCAGTAATAGTTATTGACACGGAAGAGCCAACTTTTCATTCGATGGACAAATCCTTCATTTTTTTAATTACGTTTTTATTGATTTGACGGAGAGAGAAACATCAGTCGGCTGCCTCCTGCACGCCCCCTATTGGGGATCAAGCCCGCAGCCGGGGCATGCACCCTGACCGGGCGTGAACCGGGGACCTCTCGGTGCATGGGACAGCATTCAGCCAACTGAGCCGCACCGGCCAGGGCTCGATGGACAAATCTTGAAGACATCGGTATTTTAATCAAACAGGCATGAATCAACAAAGACTTAGGTGTCTTGCGTCCCAGGAGAGCTCCTCTTGGAGAGCAGGTCATCACCAGCGTGGCCCGTTCAATGGATAGAGTGACACCACTGGACTTGCAGACTGGGTTGGGTTCAGAACGTGTCTGGGTTGAGGAGCTTTTCTGCCCATTGTCTGAAACTTCATCTCAGATGGTTAGGACTTGATTAGATATGAGACAAAATGATTAGAGTGACGCTGAGGAATAGAATGTGGCAAGTGTGGTGTGTCAGGGAAGCGAGCTGGGGTCGTCCCTAGCTTACTGGACATTCTGCTAATGAGCTGAGGGAGGCAGGCAGGCATGCTGAACTTGTCTGCTTCTTCAGACCAAGCAGCTTGTGCTGGAAATGCCCAGAGACCACTGGCACGGAGGCCTCAACAAGGCGGCCTTCAGGCAGCGTGGGGGAGTCCCTCTGACGGGCTGACCATAGTGGACCCCAGTTGGAGAGCTCCGTGGGAGGACGGTATATTCATATAAGTTATATTACCTGATGGTAATAGCAGGTGGTAGGATCTTCTCAGCCTCCTGGGCTTCTCCCTGAAACTATCTCAGAGCAGCCTGCGACTTCTCCTTGTATAGTTCGAAGCGGTGAGCAGGGGGGCTGGGCCCCCAGCAGTCTGTAGGCAACAGATGTATCTGAACATCTCTTTTAAAGATGGAAAATCTGACTGCCTTTCTCTTTTTCCGATTAAGATTTTATGGCCAAAGTGAAGACGGAGATGAATTTAATGACTCCATCCGCCAGCTCTTTCTCGCTTTCAACACGCTGATGGACAGGCCCCTGGAGGAAGCTGTCAAGATCAAGGTGAGCGTGGCTCCGCGGGCACCCTGCGCTGTCAGTGAGGATGTCCTGGGCGGCACAGAGCTAGTCCTGGTGGGAGTCAGACCGAGGGAATCATGATTCATGGAGAGCTTGTGAGGTTTAGTATGACTTACAGAAAGTACAGGGGAAAACCTTGTTTTACGTTTATTGTGCTTTTGTTTCCTTGAGTGTCTGCGAAAAACAAGCTGCCCCTTTAGACATCCCTTGAGTGGCCTGTGTGGCCGCTGTGAATTCCGCCCATTGACTCTGCTGTTACAGGCCACAGGTGTTTATGCTTACTTCTCTCATTCTTTCCGGAAGCCCAAAGTCACAATTATTTTCATCGTTATCATTTTTTTTAAAATGTAAAATACGAAGTCTCTAAAGACTCAAATTCAAACTTTATTATTTATTCTTCGCTCTTTATGGCAACGTNTTCAATGTAAAATACGAAATCTCTAGACTCAAATTCAAACTTTATTATTTATTCTTCGCTCTTTATGGCAACGTTGTGATGGAGAGGTCAAGATTTTAACTACCCCCATGGGTAGAAAAATGAACCCCACGTGGGCAGTGCCTGTTGGTAGTGAAGACAAAAAGCTGCTCCTCCTGACTTCTCAGGAAAAAAATTTTAGGAGATTTCTAATTACATCGGCTTTCCTCTTCATAGCAAGAGCATCAGTGCCCTGTTACCTGTTTCAGATCCAAGCCTTTTCTTCCTGGGATCAAGCAGTAAATTCTCTATTTGTCCTGGTTGGCCACTGAGTGTGCCTTTGGTGTTTTTCCTCACAGGGGGCAGCTCTGAAGTACCTTCCTAGCATAATTAACGACGTCAAACTTGTGTTTGATCCTGTCGAGCTCAGGTAAATAGCAAAACACATTTGTTTCTTGACGTTAACAGAAAAGCAGCCCCCTGCTCGGCTGGGGCCTGGGCTGCCCCACATACTGTTATTCTTCTAACGTGTTGATGTAACGTGTGATGATCCTAACACATGTTGATGTAACGTGTGATGATTGTAACACGTATTGATACAATGTATAATGAACACCGTTTTGTGCTCAGTTATGAGAGGATACAAAAGAAGACACAGAGCCTGCTTCTCAAGAGGTCTGCGCTTTGTCCAGGGAAATGGGACACGTACACCTAAAATTACCTGTAGAAGAAAGTACATAGTGATATGCCTCCAGCCCTATACCTAAGTACCCAGGAATGCAAAGTCAGGTGGCGATTGACACTGGGGTGGAGTTAGCAGAAAGGGATTCTGCAGAAGTAGAGTGTTAGGGCATTTACGGGACTGGGTGCACTTTGCAAGTTTGAGCAGAGTCAGCTCTAAGGTTGGGCCCTGTAGTGAGCAAGGAGTAGTCTCTCCTTTGCTTCCCAGAGACAGGCTCTCAGGTATCTGGGAGAGATTTCCAGGTGTAAACCTCTCCACGCCCTGATCTCAGAGCAGAGGAGAAACGTGTAATGACACCTTGAACCTGGCACAGTGGAAACACTAGCCCCCGGGGGCTTCTCTTCCAGTGTGCTCTTCTGCAAGTTCATTCAGAGCATTCCTGACAACCAGCTAGTTCGCCAGAAGCTTAACTGCATGACCAAGATAGTAGAGAGCAATCTTTTTCGGCAGTCGGGTAAGTTTCCACCCAAAACAGCTGCCTACTGAAATTCTAGTCCTGCTTCTTCAGTCAACCCTGGACCCTTTTTAAATGTCACTAATGTCCTTGCCAGTTGTTTGCTGGCACTCGCGAACCCACTGGCACCATACATAGTCATTAGAATATTATGGACTGTATTCCCTATGCTGTAGTTTATATCCCCACGACTTTTGTAACTACCCATCCGTACTTCTCAATCTCTTCCCCTTTTTCACCCAGTTCCCCAACCCCCTCCTCTCGGGCAGCCGCCAGTCGGTTCTCTTTATCTATGAATCTGTTTCTGTCAAAACAACATTTTTTAAACTATATAACTTGCTTCGTTTATTAGTTTCATATGACTTTGCTTTCAGGTATCAAGTTGGCATTTTTTAAAAACGGCTGAAGAAACTGTTGAATACTTTAAACATTTTGCTACTGTTACCTACGACAGGGATACTTTTCTTAGTTTTAAAAATCCAGTTTCAGGGCTGAAGGTCCACGCCTGTGCTTCTGGAGGGAGTCCAGCGCTGTAGGGCAGAGTCTGGGCCCGGGGCTGTGGGAACAGGCCGAGGGGGTGCAGGAAGGAGCGGCCGGCTCAGGATGTGACCCTGCAGCTGGTGAGCTGTCCTCGTTTTCTGTCTCAGAGTGCAGAGACGTGCTCCTGCCGCTGCTGACTGACCAGCTCAGCGGCCAGTTAGACGACAACTCCAGCAAGCCTGACCACGAGGCAAGCTCGCAGCTTCTGAGCAACATCCTGGACGTGCTGGACAGGAAAGATGTGGTGAGTCAGATTGTCACTGATGGAGACCGCAGCACACACTGGTCCCATTGCCTAGGGCGAGAGGAATGCCTTGGCCTTTCCAGTCCCAGGGGAACACACTGCTTTCTACCTGCCTGTCTCTTCTTTTCCCTGAGTCCCTGGAACCTACTATTTATTTGATAGTTATTAATTATAGGCCACCCCCCCTTTTTTTGCTTAAATTTGTTCTTAGAAACAGCATTATAAAATGGAATAACTTTTCCCCAGGAATTTTGTGGTTGGGGATTTGATTCCTAACCAAGGACTTTGCAACGAATAAATTAATGTGATCAATCATGTCAGAATGACAGTAACATTTTAAAAATGTAACTCTTACCGCTCAGTAATTAAAATACTAAAATGAAGCTCAGAACCCCATAAAGTTGGCAACAATGTACTAGGCACACTGGCTTAGTCAGGGCTACAGGGTTCTAAAAGCACCTATGTGTATGATCTCTCACATCAATGTTTCTCTCTCTCTCTCTCTCTCTAAAAATCAGTAAGAACATATCCTCAGGTGAGGATTTAAATAAATAAGAAATGGCAAAGGACCTGAATAGACACTTCTCCAAAGGGGACATACAGATGTCCAATAGACATATGAAAAGATGCTCAGTGTCACTAATCATCAGAGAGATGCAAATTAAATCCACAGTGAGGTATCACCTCACACCTGTCAGAATGGCTACCCCAATAAATCAACAAACTACAAATGTTGGTAAGGATATTGGTAGGAATGCAGACTGGTGCAGCCACTGTGGAAAACAGTATGGTTTCCTCAAAAAATTAAAAATGGAACTGCCATTTGACCCAGTGATTCCACTTCTGGGAATGTATCCTAAGACTCTCGAAACACTAATCAGAAAGAATATATGCACCTCTGTGTTATAGCAGTGCCATTTATAATAGCTAAGATCTGGAAGTGGCCCAGTGCCCATCAGTAGGTGAGTGGATAAAAAAGCTGTGGGACATCCACACCATGGAATACTATGCAGCTGTAAAAAAGAAGGAAATCTTACCCTTTGCAACAGCATGGATGGACTTGGAGTGTACTATGCTAAGTGAAATAAGCCAGTCAGAGAAAGACAAGTACCATATGATTTCACTTGTCTGTGGAATCTAATGAGCATAATAAACTAACAAACAAAATAGAAACAGACTCATAGAGACAGGGAACAGACTGACAGCTCTCAGAGGGGAGGAGGTTTGGGGGGTGGGTAAAAAGGGTGAAGGGATTAAGAAAAAAACCCCTCATAAACGCAGACAAGAATATGGTGACTACCAGAGGGAAAGGGGGCTGAGGGGAGGTAGAAGAGGGAAAAGGGGAACAAGTGGTGACAGAGGAGGCTTGACTTTGGGTGGTGAACACATAATACTGTATACAGATCATGTCTCATAGAAATGTACACGTGAAACCAACTATATAATTTTATTAATCAATGTCACCCCAGGGGGTTCAACAAAAATTTTTATAAAGTCAGTCCTCACTTAATGTCATTGATAGGTTCTGTGACTTTAAGTGAAACCACATAGAATGAGACCAGTTTTACCATGGGCTAATTGAGGTAAATAAGAGTTAAATTTCTATGACATCTCATCAATATTATAGTGAAATGACATTATTTGAGAACCTGCAGTACAGTAGACGAGGTGTCTTAATACAAATTGTTTAAGTTGGGCTGGAGGCCGGAGGTCCAAGGCCAAGGTGCCGGCTTGATCAGGTGTGTGGTGAGGGCCCTCCTCCTAGCTCCCAGGTGGCTCTGCTTGCACATGGCCTTTCCTCAGGGTGTGTGAGCAGAGCAAGAGAAAAGGCACACTCTGTTGTCTCTTATATGGACACTAATCCCATCAAACCAGAGCCTTGCCTTCCTGACCTGAGTGCCCCCAAAGTCCCCATGTCCAGATACCATCACAGTAGGGCTTAGAGTGTGGACATAAGAATTTTGAACACATCTCCTTGACTTGAATTTCTTGGGGGTTTTTCCTCCTATACAGAAGGACTTTGCATTATTGCCTTTCGCGTCCTGTGCAGGTGCCTGATTGTCCTGGGCAGCCCGACCTGCTCCGAATCAGTACCGAGTACCTCGTGCGAGTGCATGTCCTCCCCAAACTATGCTGGGTCAGTGGCCCCCGTGAGCTCTCCGGGCACCCGAGGACCCGGCTTGTTAGGACAGTGTCCTTCCCCGGCAGCCCAGGCTCACCTTTCAAGTGTTACAGTGATTCCTTTCAGCGGATTCCTTAGTGTCACCATTATGTATTGGCCTGGGAATCTGCGTTTTCCTTTTGGATGAGAGATTGCTTGGGAGGGAAGAGCCGGAATGAGAGTGAAAGGGCAACCTCATCTGTCCAAAGTTTCCCGCAGAAAAGTGAAGCTGAGTCCTCGGAGTGTGTCGGTTGCTGTGCTTCCCCCTCAGGGCCCCACCGCGATGCACATCCAGCTGATCATGGAGCGGCTGCTGCGAAGGATCAACCGGACGGTGATCGGGATGAACCGGCAGTCTCCCCACATCGTGAGTGTCGCTTCAGGGGACCCGCGCCACTGCTGCTGCTCAGTGTCCCCTCTGCCCTGATGGGCGGCTTTCGGGACCGGTGTCCTGAGAGCAGATTCACAGGGGCCCCTCCCACCAGGCCGCTCTGCCTGCACCCCCTGCTCCCTCCGAGTGAGTGCGTGGGGCCTAGAACTTTACAGCCCCGGGGGCGAGCCCCTTACACCGCCAGCGGATCTTAACTCTCACCCTGGTTGTCTCTTGCGGGAAGAGGAGCCAGCAGGGTGGGGAGGTGAAGGGGAGCGTCATGCAGGATTCGTAATGTAAGGCGAGCGGATCCATACTTGAGTCCTGCTCACACTGAGGGTTGGACACAAGCCCCTTCTAGCACAGCAAAGCAGAGACCCACCGAGACACGCGGGCACCCTGGGAAGACGGTGTTTCCAGTCCGAATATTCTCTAAGCATTTGTCTAATATTCTACTCAAGGAAAATATGAGTCTTGGTGAGCAGACAATAAGAGATTTTGGTAGCTGCATTCGGCATTTCCTCTATCATCTCAAATAATTCAGTTCAAAATCTCAATTTATGCACACTCTGACTGGATAATCACAACAGTAATAGTACTTCCAGCTGTAGTGAGATAGTTGTAGGCATTAGCTGGTTATTTTTGTGTGCCAGAACTGTGTTAAGCACTTTACATTTCATTGAAAGCTCGCACCCATCCTGTTAGAAAGCTCTTTCATTAGTCTGTTTTTCAAATGAGGAAACATGCAAAGAGTGGTTAAGAAACCTGCTGAAGTTACATACCTACCAGAATTAGGGTTGAATTATGGTTTGGACTTGGGCCGCCAGCCTGGCTGCAGAGTGTGTGCATGTTGTCAACCATGTTTGACTTTATTTCATGTTAGACCCACAAAATAAATTTCAAATAGAATGAAGGGTTTAATGTAAAAAAATTAAATCCTAAGGCAGCTAAAAGAAAAGATAAATGAATATATACCTATTTTTAAGAGAAAAGAGAGCCATGAATTTTAAAAATTAAAAGGATACAATAAAAGAAACAATAGGTTTCACTAGGTAAAAAATTTTAACTCTAGGTGAAAAAAATGTATATAAGCAAATTAAACTTCAAGCACCAAACTGTAAAAATTATTTGTAAAATATGTCACAATAAGTGGCCAAGAAACATATGGATAGAATGTGTAATTCAAAACAAGAAATGCAAATTAACTGAAAATGAGATTAAATAAAATTTCAATACCCAGAATAGGCAAAAGCCTTGAAAAACAACAGTGTTAGACACTGATGGGAATGCAGACTCTATGCTAGGTTGCAATTTATATCAAAAGCCTCGGTATAATAAATTTACATTGTGTTATAATTAGAAAAATACACTTTTTAAAATAAGGATATTAAGACAGACATTAAGAGAGAGGTGTACATAAATAGACTTTCATTGTTTTTGTGTTTAGGAAGTCATTCCCTCCATCCCAAGAACAGCTGTACATTCATCTTCTCTGTGCCAAAGTCACTTAAATTTATGTTGTTTTCATCGTGATATGAATATAGGAAGATATTTACTTCTAGATATTTGCCCTCTGGCTAGAAAATTATTATTCCAATACAGTTGGATGAGGGGAAGGCACATTGAACATGTAATTCGTGACCTCAAAAATAGAAATGATGGTAATCATCTAATTATTATTGTAATATTTTAATCTTCACCTGAGGAGTGAGGATATTTTTTCCATAGAGAGTAGAAGGGAGGGGGAAGAGGGAGAGAGAGATGGATGTGCCTCCCACATGCTCCCAACCAGAGGCAGGGAGCAGACCTGCATGCCCTTGACCGGGAATTGAACCCATGACCCTCCGGTGTGCAGGCCGATTCTCTAACCACTGAGCCATGCTGGCCAGTGCTCATCTAATTATTCAATCCCTTTCTTCAGAGCAGGTCCACAGTTACACATGTAGCATACTGTATTCTTCCAAACCATATTTGTATAAACAATCTAACTATTCCAGCCACTTCTGTATGGACTTTTATCCTACAACTCTGTCTCGGCAAGAAACTTAAAAGCCCACAAGTTGTTAGTTTCACTAGTAATCTAGCCGAGATCTTGAAGTCAGCGTCCCTTGACCTACAGGACTGCACAAACCTTAGCTGCTCAGGGCATGAGGAAAGTCTGCCACCTTCCTTACCTCAAAGTCGAAAGGAGGGCGTTTCACCCAGCTGGCGTGGCTCAGTGGTTGAGCATCGGCCTATGACCCAGGAGATCACGGTTCGATTCCTGGTCAGGGCACATGCCCAGGTTGCCGGCTCGATCCCCGGTAGGGGGCGTGCAGGAGGCAGCCGATCAGTGACTCTCATCATCGATGTTCCTATCTCTCCCTTCCTTTCTCTGAAATCAATAAAAGCATTTCTTAAAAAAGTTAAAAGAAAGGAGGCCGTTTCAGGCAGAAACAGCAAAGTGTGTGCCCTTTGAACCTTTGGAATGCAACGTGTTTCTGGTGTGGTAGGTCCTTGCTTGGGCGATTGGGTGGGGAAAGCCACAGTTCATGTGCCCAAGTCTTGTTCTGTCCGGTGGTCTAAGGAGCTCAGGGTCTGTGTCTTTTCTCCTGCAGGGCAGCTTTGTCGCGTGCATGATTGCCATCCTGCGGCAAATGGACGACAGCCACTATACCTACTACATCGACACTTTCAAGACCCCACAGGACATCACTGTAAGTCGCCTTCACTCAGTCCTGGTGACCCTAAAGATGCTTATATTCAGCAAAAAGAGTAACCAAAACTGAGCCTTGGGAGTGCAGGGGTCTCTCCCCTCCACCCTCATGCCACGTGGCTATCCCCAGTGATGAAGAAAAGGGAAGTGTTGGTACTCTCTCTCTGGGATAGAGTTGGAAGAAGAGTACAATTTGTATACCAGGGGGCCTCACTCAACCCCTCAAGTTTCTTGGGTTTCGAGAGAGCCTTATTTAGAAACATTTGGGAGACTTTTTGCTCTCAAAAGAGGATAGTGTCTGGTTCTCAGGGACGGTAGTCGCTCATGCTGTCCAGGGTTTTAGGAGGCAGAGGTGTGCACAGTCTTCTAGATGCGGAGGAGGCCATCGTTTTCAATAGTTCCTGGGAAGGGAAACAAAAAGGGGCAACACCTCCCCTTACAACTCTTATCTATCTTCAGTTGAAAACATTCCGTTCCCTTGTTATAGACAAGAGAATTGTTCTCCTAGTTGCTATTCAGCGAACAAGCAAAGGTTGCCTGAGGGACTAAGCCAGGCCCCTGGCTGCTCCCCAGGATTCTGCCCTTCAGGGAGATTTTAGTGGCTGTTACATGTCCCTGATGGTATCATCTTATTTTGCTAAGCAGTGGGCTGGACATGGATCTGGATTAGCAATTCGATGGCCCATGGGACTAGCCTTTGCTCTCGATAACTTGCCATCATCCCTGCATGTTTCAGTCTTTATGCTCTAGATTTTCCACTTCCTGCCTCTGTTATTCTGATAGTCTGTGGCCAGTGCACCCAAGAATATCCAGCTCCTTTTATGACCATCACCCTTCTCTTGGTGAAGTCCCATGATGGAAAACAAGGAATTGGAGAGACACTACTGTTTATTATTAGTAGTAGTAGGTCCAGTAATGAACTCTCCAAATGCTCTATTGGACCGTGTGGCTTAACCTGGAGGCCTACTCACGCCTCCGCCCGGGCCATGCTCTGGCAGGCAGCAGGGCACAGGAGCCCACAGCAGCAAGGAGGTGTGCCTGCAGAGAGCAGTACACGAGAATTGGGG